GTCCGGAATGCAGAAGAAACTGACATGATATAAACTCGATTTCGTACATATGTTCAATCTCCAGCGATATGAGGAATCCAGACGTCGATGATCCGCCACGAGGACCGCTAAATAATATAGAGGAGAAGTGCAGCGTTTGCGCGAAAGTAATAACTACATCAATGAAGCCACCTCGAAGTGTCGTCAAGTTGCAGCCAAGAGTGTCGAGGGTCGAAATCTTGAGACTTGTAACACAATCGCTCTCGAGTTTCAATGGGGACTTTCCTAACTCCAACGTGCATCCAGTCCCCTCCATTGGAACCAGATATATCTGAACGCTAACAGATTTCTCCGGCAAACAGATATCTGTAAGTGTGTAGTTGGCTGAGTACGCGCCAACTCTCCAGAGAACCTGTAACCAGGCATCATGTAGGGTCAGGCATGGTCGCAAAAGGTCAGTACCACATGGCTCCGTAGGTCTAGTAACTGAAATTCCGCTTTTGTTGGAAACAAACACTGTGGACGTATTGTATGAGGGAAATACTGGTTGGTCCTGGTGAGATGATGTGGCTGGTAACACCGCTGAGTCAGATGTCCGAGAGACCCACTCACCATCGCTGAACACAGACGTTGCCACCAAAAGCAGCACTGCGAGTACTTTTCCAGGAGTGGCAGGCATGGTAAAGACTACCATTCCTGCATTGGAAATCACCGAAATGCAGAAACATAAGTAAGAATTTTATCCTTTTAAGCTTTAACTCCCTCAACCTTATGAATATCCTTTCAGGTGCACTTTTCGAAGCCGAACAAACACATGACACGAATAGCATGAACGTAACAACCAGTGCAATCTGCAAAAGGCATAACAAAAGACGAGTTGTCATAATTTCGAGTGATCCGAAGTCCAATTGAATGTGATGTACATGACGCAGACCAGGGGATTTTTCTACAGGTGCTCTAACAACCAAGCTATGCTGTAATGGTCAGCCAAAGAGTGGGAAGCCATATTTCTCTCTAATACAACCATTGAAACCTCTTTGAAGTAGATAAAAATGTCTACGCCCATAGTTCATAAGGTAAGCTGTTCCCAGGGTGTTGCAAACTGCTGGTAGTTTTACTCGAATTTACTTGACACACGTCCGCCACTAGTATGGCACGAGTAACAAAAGCACTTTTCCTTTCGACGAACTTGCTAAGAAGCCATCACGTCGCATGCATTAGTTTCTGCTAGAGTACAGTGGTGAACTATGTGCTCAGGGAGCACTTCAATCTAGCATATGAGATATACTACTAGATCAGAGTTCCTAGACGTCTCAATAGTCATTGGTCAAATATCCACACCTGCTACTTCATTTATCTGTTTCTCGCTATTCCATAGCTCGCAACGACTTGTGGTGCTTCCTGGACCCAGAAGCTCAAACATTACTGGCGCCACAAAAGGGACGCCGCAATGAACGTATTAAAGTGACGCTCCGCACCAAGTGTAACATTAATTTTATGTTATTTGACCCTCGAAGCATCGCGAGTCAGAGTCGACCATGTAATATTGAGAAGCAGATTATGCAAGAGTGTGGATATTCAACTAATTACCTATTGAGTCCAAACCATTCCATTATATGCAACGTTTCGGCCAGTGGTCTTCTTCAGATACTCTATGACTGAAACATTGTATATAATGGAATGGTTCGGAAATTTGCAGAGTATCGTGGAATGGGTGAGTTCACGCAATTGTGTCTACTATGAAACTGCAGGAAGCCTCCAAACTTCTTCTCAGTTACTATTGAGTCCGTTGGGAGTTCTGATCTAATACGATATCGTTGAGCTGGTGATTATCAAACTAGTTCCACACGTAAATGCATAGGCCTTGCTATAGCCAATACCAAACAACGTGGGACTAGTGTCGTTATCATTTCAATCTTACCTTGCTCGGGACACAGACCCGTCAGGAGGAATATTCTTGCCGTTCCTTTCTGCGATATCTTAATAATATCCTCTGATCGTCTTGTTGAGGATATGCTGTGTTGCAACTCGACTACCGAGCTTAAAATCAATCTTTCGACACAACTAGTCCGATGTAGGCACTATGAAGTCTCGACGCTCATCTTCCGCTCTGAAGCCTTGCGGATGTGTTCCTTGGTCTGCGCGGTAGACGGCTTTCGCACGTTCTGACGTTCACGGTGCAGTGTGTGCATCTCTGATAGCAAATACATGACATCCATCTCCGCGGGCAATGGGTGTGACCGGCCGCTCCAAGCTTGGATAACCCAACTAATTACTTCCTGAAATTAATACAATGTATTTGATAAATACATACAGCTCACGTTCTGACGTTGATGGTGCAGTGTGTGCATCTCTGATAGCAAATACATAACATGACACGGTATATCCATCTCAGCAGGCAATGGGTGTGACCGGCCGCTTCAAGCGTGGATAACTTAACTACTCAAAATCAATCCTTCGACACAACAGTCACTAGTCCCATGCTAGCACTATCAAGTCTCGACGCTCATCCTCAGCTCTGAAGCCTTGCGGATGTGTTCCTTCGTCTGCGCGGTAGACGGCTTCCGCACGTTCTGACGTGGACGGTGCAGTGTGTGCATCTCTGATAGCAAATCCATGACATGACACCGTATATCCATCTCAGCGTGAAATGGATGTGACCGGCCGCTTCAAGCTTGGATGACTCAACGAATTACTTCCTGCAATACTACACAGTGCAATAAAGCCTCGAACCTCAAAGCTCATGCTTTGCCCAGAGTAGATTCACTTACGCATGACCCTTATTATAATTATGCCAAACTTCGCAACATATGTTATCCAGATTCTCCCAAAGAACAGTGTGTGCATTCAGGAAACCGTACTTAACTCACGTTTTTCAGTTGAAACAATATCCATCATGGACCTCGATCAAATTTCACACACTGCACAAATGATAACACAAAGATCAGTTACGGAAAAGCTGGTACCTTATGTAAGTGATGAAGGCGGAGAATGAACTGTTGATTGCGAATACGTTTATGCTTTTAATATTTTTATTATTATTAATTCAACATCTCCTGGCTCGTCAGAAAACTCCCAATATGAGAGGTCGCGTGGGAGCCAACCCGGCGGACTGAATAATAAGGAGAGAAATAAAGAGAGTTCTGCAAGGGGAGGCATAACGGAAATGGTGAGATTATTAGGACGAAGAAGCTGAAGCTTGAACTCCTTAGTGTCTGTGCATGCTTTAAGGCTAGTTGGCAGGGAAGACCAGAGAGTGTACGCAGAGAAGATAGGAGATTTCAGATATAGGGAGGTATTGGCACGGAGTAATGAGAAGGAATGACGTGTTGATCTGGTGGACACAAACAAGTTATACATAGCAAAGTGTTTGGGGGCCAGGTCTAATAAGATGACGTGTACAATGATGCAAAGATGTTGCTTGTGTCGCTCTACAAGGGGAGATACTGAAGCTAAACTGTAGAGACGTTGGGAGGAGAATGCTTGATCTTTGCGAAACAGGATTTTTAGAAGCAGACGCTGGTGTATTTCCGGAGTTTGAACATGGGCCTGTCACAGACCGCACCACGCTGTGTCACAGTAATCAAATATAGGTAGAATATACGACGTAAAGAACAATTTTCGGCAATGATCATTTAAATGGTGGCAGTGAGGTTGCAACATGCCAAGGGAGGAGCTAGCTCGCTTGCTTACTGACTGGACCTGTGGGGACCAGGACATATGGCTGTCGAATATAACACCACTTTGTTTGTGTTCATGAACAATTTTAACGTTAGCATTGGCTCCTGGAAAGTGCAACGGCTGAGTGTGCGGCGATGGGCTAATGAACATTGCTTCGGTCTTCGCGATGTTGGGCCTCAGCTTCCAAGCTTCCATCCATGCTATGGTGGAGTTAATGCCGGTCTGCATATTTTTTTCTTTGTATATCCTCTGATGTCATGTACATAATAGTTGGGTTTCAAGATTCAATGGTCATGATCAAACCATTCGTCGACGGAAGTATGAGTGCTCAACGAGAATGTCATGACATACTTAGAGAATATACTAATGGACACAAACCGTACAGTATCAAGTGGTCCGTTGTGAGGAGAGTCACACCATACTGTAACATCTCTGAGCTGCAATCTGTGCCAAGACGAGATGCTAGAGATTGCCTGGGCCGACACGACCCGCACCCTCAACATGAGGTCTATGCTAGTTTCCAAGAGTCTTCAGGAAAACACGTTTTACCTTCGTAACTTTGTCAACAGGATCACGTGACTCTAGCTTTATAGTCATGCTGCTGGCTTGTGTGTGTGTGAGAGAGAGAAAGTGGGTGGAGGGGGGGGGGGGCGTCATAGAGTAAGTGTGTGTCCGTGTATGTGAGTGGGTTCTAGTATGTGTGTGATGGTTGTGAGAGTGACAGAATGAGCATTGCGCGTGTGCGTGTGAGAGAGAGAGAATGTATTTGTGTGTGTGTGTATGTGTATTCCAGGTAACGGGTTTGACAGATTGAGTGTTTTCACTACCACCTTTATTGGTTTCAGGGTTTATTTACTTAATATTTGAAGTATACATACCTGTTAACCATGGACTACTTCTGCCTAGATCTACTGTTGTGTAATCAACGGTGCATGTGAAGCATCAGATCCTCTCTAATTCAATCACCCACACTAGAAGCGAATCGGACTCTTTTAGTAGATCTAGTGTTTTCTTCTATGAAAGCAGCGTGCAGGTCTATAACCACTATAGGGTGTGTATAGAAAATTGTCTTGGCCGTCCTATTCCGATGTACTCCGTGTGGTGTAAACCAGTATTTGGCTAGTTCATTAGCAATGTTCAAGAAGTGACTTTTTATGATTTCAATATACATTATGAGTCCAACAAATTTACAAGGCAAAGGGCTCTGTTCACCAAATCGAAGAAATTACCCAATGCCATGAACATGACGATATGGAGGAGGGAGTACGGAAAAGGCCATTGCGAACCTGGATATGTACGATGAGGAAAAAGCATTAAAATACCATGTAGAACAACATGTGCATACAAATGTGTATCATTCTGTTGCCACCGTCAGTGTAGAATATTTTTTCTTAACTAAATTGGGTGGTAATAATGGAGAGCCGCACAAGTACGAGATGCATGGCAGTATCAATGAATGTATTCATATTGTGAAAAGAATTGATCCACTGCAAATATCAGGGAAAATGACTAGTCATCAATTGCATGAAGCTTGGAAAGCTGCAGTACGGAATGTGTGTTGCAATACGCATACAAATGAAGGAGAGCCACATGGCAACATGTTGTCATCCAATGTTAGTACAGAAAACCAGACACTCCTTCATTCCTCTCTTCATAGTTATTAGTGTCTTAGTACCAATAATGCATGTATAGGCTTTTCTTGCTTTGCGACTAAAGCTGACGCTTTTAAGAGTAACAAGACCTAAACAAAGATGCGCTAAAACGAATAGTGTGCTGCTGCGTAGATTTATGAATGTGAGCGCAAATAGACCAAAAGTTGATAATACTAACTAAAAAGGAATAAAATTACAGGCCTATTTACAACGCATACAGTTTTTCGTGTTGTTCAAGATCTGTCAGGTGCATGGTCACAAAACATAATTTAGAGACGACCCTCTTGTTGAACACGGATGTTATCAACTAAGAGTGGGTCTCTGATGTCACCTATCAAGTTGGCCAAGGCTGTTTCGTCCAGATGTGATTCGTTTCTCTCCCGTCCACGTCCTCTCTGCCAATGCTGCCAGATGCGGCGAACGGAGAGGGTCCTGAATCTTCCGTAGCCTCCCTCCTTGGCTAGACATTGTCGATAGAGGAGTGCTGTTAGCACCAACGCAGTGGGCGTAAGGAAGAGTGCCCCACTGACCCATAGCACATAGTTTTCGGTCATCTGCGACTCGTACATGACACTGTAGAGTACCGAGATACAGATGGAAATACAGAGCATGAACGACTCCCATGTGTTGTAGCCAACCCCCGCAAAATCACCCTTCCGAAGAGGTCTGAACAAAGAAGCAGAAAAACCACGCAAACTGAAATTATATAGTCATGCAGCCGGAGGATGATAAAATCCGCTTTGTCTGCGCCATTGTCTGGCACATCTACATAATTGCAACCAGACACTTGTTAGGCTGTGACAAGGAATGACAAGCGCCAGTCGCGAGTTAACCCAAACACAGCCATTACATGAACACGTAATGGCCATTAAGTAGGATCAATCATCCACACACTCGCGGAGGGTAAAATATCAGGTTGAGAAAACCCCACTAACTAATCGTGGCATTGTCAAGTTTCAAGAGTGGATTTACAACAAGTATAAGGAGACGTTTCCTGCTACAAATTTCACTGCTCTGCGCTATTTGGCCTAAAGGACAATGTTGGCCAGTCACTAAACTTGGTTATTATTCTCAATCTTCCCCAGTTTTTCATCTCCTTTTCTTCTGGCCCTAATATTTTTCTGTTGGTGCACCCAGCTAGCATTGACACAGAGACTCATGGTCGAGTATGTCTGGTCGGATCTCATCACCGCTACCGTTCTTCACTATACATTCTTATACTTGAAGGCTGTGCTAAATATTCATTAGTTTGAGAGAAAGCTGGAAACGGAAAACGCTCTAGAGACAAACTTGACTATCACCACCAGGACTTGAACCAGGGAACCTGGCTTATGGCCAGCGATTCTCCACCACTAAGCCATGGTGTACTTGACACCCAAGCAGCAACAGTTCAACATTTTCCTTGTGACAGGGATCAAAAAATAAATAAATATACGTACTGAACTTTGCTATGCAGCATTTGAAGCAACAGAAGGAATCCAGATGTCACCAAGAGTCTGGACACCGCGCTCGAAAACGGTAGTGATCCAAGCAGGCCAATGGCAATACGCCTCAACAGGTTCACAGCTGACCACCAGCGGCACTCATCAGTGTACATGCAGCACGCCTCGTCCACGAAACCCTTCAACATGATATGACCATGTGTTCGTCGAATGAGTAATAGCAACGGCGGTGGGACGATAAATATGGCCAGGATTGCAGCTGCTGCCAGGACATAGCCTAGATGTGGTGACACATAGCAGTCTACGGATCCATCCATGGCAAGCACCTGCCTGTCGTTCATTTGCACACACCAGAACACACTGAGAGCTGTGAAGGTGAGCATAAAGTAGCTGTAGACCAGAACAAACCACATGACCCGCACTAGTTTCATGTGGCTCTGAAGTCTTGCCAATCGAGTTCCAAGGTAGTTGTAAGATCGTGCAATGCGTATAGCCAGGAAGATGAGAAGAAATGTGATTGGTTGGATAAGGAGTAGAGTGCTGACTTGAAGTCGATTTAGGTCCTCTTTGAGACACACGTGTCCGAGTCCAAAAGTCAACACGGTGTAGATGCTGCTGTAGACGAATGTAACTTCGTTCGGGAAGATGTACCAAGACGTCTGAATAAAAACCAAAAGAAGCAGAAATCATGGCATGCTCTAGTCTCAACATACATGTAGTACGAGTTTCTTTCGAACACAGCACATCACTGATATCTTGCTTCATAACTTTATTGATGTATGATCTTCCGATGTATTCTAGTGATCATGTGACCTTTCTTCTGATTGGTACTTTGTTGCAGACTATGAAAACAAATTCCACTTGCATTCTCGAAAAAATTTGAACAGTTCCGAGCTAGATTCAGTGAAATGGCTACAGGAGACCGATTTCGTCTCAGATCTGGAGCTGGACTCGCGTTTGGGGCGCGTTGTGGCGGACAATGAATAGTGCTCTTGGTAAGTTTGGGATCATTGTATATCTCTCATTAAGAGCTTTCCAACAAGCCTAAGATCTTCAAAATCGGTGAAATAGAACCAAAGTTATGTTGGAAATCGAGTGCGCATTTTCGTAACTGCCACAAATTCTGCGGAAGCAAAAAAGTTACGGACTCCAATGGGACTCTTTGACCTGTGGTTCACTATTTGAAACCAAGAACGAGATTTGAAGTAGTTGCATCATTGAACAACATGCTTCCTGGTGCCTTCAATCATGCTTCATGCGAATGATTCTCTTATAAAAAATCCTCGATTCAAAGGAAGTTGCGCCAACTGATATGCATGTACATGTAAATATCCTTGCATTCTGTGCTAATTTGTATTTCAAAAACTTATAATAACCAAAATTACCTGCACAAAGAACAGCCAGCTATCCAGAACTGGTGAAAGGCCAACATTGAAGTAGAAGAGCAGGATGGATGTCAGGACTGTCATTACCACCATGGTTATGACGTATACCCATAGTGGAATAGATGACGTCATTGAGCAATCAACGCATTGCTGTAAAACGACACATAAGAGGCAAGTATAAATATCGAAGACATGGCAAAGCCAGCTTTGTTTGCTACACACCAGACGGAGAGCGGAACCTGAACGCATCATTGTCACCTGAATATTCTGTAGGCCATGCTATTATTCTTACCGCTAATGCTAGCTTCAGTCTTGTACCGGCTCTGCACTCTCCACACAAGATACCCGCGGCATTGCCAACACATGCTGGCGTTCCCGATCCATTGTAGAGCCACGCACTACTCTTGCAAAGGCCATTCGTGCACTGTGCAATGCCGAACGGATAATTGACGAATGATCCATAAACCTGCGTCTCTTTGAACGTGATGTTTGAAGTGTTACTCTCCGTTTCAAACACCACATTTTCACCAGTAGATTTCCAATCAAGAGGATTCTTTTCTGAGTCGAGACGGCTATTGGTTGTGACGTTACCGGCCCAATAGCCTGGTTTCATGTTAACAAAGCGACCCTTGCTGCACTTCTGTATGGCCGTAGAGTTCATACAGTAGCACACTTTAGTCAGTGGAGTCAGTGGCTGGTATTCTATGGTCACCTGATGCACAATAACAATAATTCAAGAAAACACAATTACATTATTAAAATTAACAATGTTTTGATATTTATAAATGCCAAAGACTCTCCTCCTTCGCTCTTACCCGGCACGCTGCTACCCTCGGTAGCCATTGCACACACCAAAAATTCCAAACAGCGAAGAGGATACCGGTTTTAATCCTACAACAAGTGCCTGTACAACTCCATCGGGGTGGGCTCCTTCAGGGTGTGATCTGATGACACCGTCCTCAGAGTACCAGGGACAATACTCTTGATGTGGCAGGAACAAAATACCATAAGGATGAAATGGGTATTTTCCAAGGGCTAGATAACTCAGTCAAAAAGGAATTATGACAAGCTTACGCACTCAACCACCAACACACACAAACACGCATTTGAAACCAATTATATTCATCATTACTTTTCAATGCCTTACCGCTACATCAGGTCCATAAAAGCCTCCAAAACAGGGCCGCAACTCAAATGGCACATCCAAGTAGAATCCATCTTTAGACTTCTTTTCTTTGGCAGTATCATCCAACAACCTGAAACGGAAGTATCCTCGTGCTCCTGGTTCCCCGCCAAGTGCTATGCCGGTGAGTGGCGAGCTTGATATAAAGTACATCTCTCCCAGGTGCTCATACAGACCTCTATCTCTTGCTCCATACCGTAGCATATAAACATCATCCTCACTGATAATCTACATAAATTTGACAGCACATAAATATAAAAGAATCCATCAGAAACCTCAATCTGCCAGTTCAAGATATCAACGGATCTTCATTGCATAACATAGAACGACACTGCAGTACGTCTTGTCATAAAGCATTGTAAACTCTCTTTGGAGTCGAAAACGTAAGATGGCAATGGAAATCGACCGAACTTCTACTAAGAGAAGCATAATGTGTCCTTAGTTACAGTAAAGTTAGTTTCTCTTGTAGTAACGGGAGCACAGGACAAGACAGCGTCGAAAGACAAAATGTCGTGGAAGTGACGGACACAATAAACTGTAAAAAAGATCTTGCAACTACCTATACTGTACTTTATGCTGCCATATTCATCGGCAGTGCGCTCCTAGAGCCTGGCTGTTAGGTGGCCATATCACTAGGTGCTCTTCATGTAATGTTCTTCCAGTAAATGCACTACAAAAAGGGGCCATGTGGAACCTTAACAAGCAGATGTAACGGTTTGAAATAGGACCGGTGTGTCAGCAAAATTGTGAAGACCCAAACGGATCATCATCGTGGATAGTTCACTTAATGAGAAAACCAGAACATATGTGCAAGTCGATCTCTCAGATTTCGCTCAAATTTTGCAGGTAGGTTTGCTTTGGGGTGTAGATCGACATTCCAAAGCCCGCACAAAATCTTTTGAAGGGAACCATGAAATTGGTATACCTCTCAATATTGGCCCAATATTGGCCCAATTTATGGGTCAACAAACGAGCCACGGCACAGCGTGCAAGAACAAGCTACGAACAAAACTCCATCAAGCCATCATTACCTCACCTTAGAAGAGTTCTTGGGGCAGCACCATTTAGCCACGCCAGCATCCCAGAAGACGAGGGCAATCATCCCTTGACGCCACAAATGACCGTCTTGAAAATAGCCAAATTACAAGCGCTGATAAAACAGCGAGCTACGTCCTCAATTAGCAAACACTATACACCGGCAGATAGTAGAACACCTCTTCTAGCACTGAGGACATGTCCCCCATCATACTTTTGGGGTTTTCTTGAAATAAACAATTTTGAATTTTTCCACTCGACCATTCTGAAATACGTCCAAACTCATACCTGCGCAGGAAAGCTCACCCTCCGCGACGTCTAGTCAGCAATTTCTACTCTAACACCACTCCCAACGCTGCAGAACAAAGTGTATTGTTGACTCTGACAAGGAAAAGCAGCGGTGATCACTTGTCACTCCAAACGACAAGCTTCTCCTTGCGCCACCAAAATTTTTCGTTGGAACACTTGATGCAAAAGTGACTGAATTTTTGCGTGTAGTTTTTAGATTTTACTGCAAGAGGAATGTAGAAATCACGTGGATCGTGACGTAGAATAATGCTTTCTGGTACACGACACAATGCACACGATCACGATCGTTCCTGAGGCGCTATTCGAAACGGACCATGGCATGAGGGAGGAGGTAAGATGCATTATATTTCTTGCATGCTCTGCTCAGAACATGCAGAAACTATCGTTATAACGCTAGCATTATTGCATTGACAAGAATTCTTGGAGATATTTCCTCTTGCAGTAAGAACAGGGATGCATTTTTTCACACTATTAAACCTCGCTCATCCCGAACATGGTTCAACAGGAACTACGGCTGGTTTACATGCTGATGATCCACGTAGATCTGCAACAGCAAGGAATGAGCGTGGTCCATGCCATCAAGGTCGCTTGGAGTTGACCAGCACGCGGCCAACACTGGTTGCATGAAGTATGTGGCGCGGCCACATGGCAGATTTCTTACGTCATGAACAACGTGATTTGACCCTACACGCCCGTCTCTGTGCTGCATGTTGAGGGAAAGTCCCAGCTGGAAGGCCTACAACACGACATGCGTGCTCTTGAGCTGGACATCAAGATGCACTTGATCCGATCTAGATCAACGGGTGATCCATGTAAGTGCAGGATCGCTTGATCAAGGTGACTCGGAACAACTGCTGAACCGTGATCTACGAGACCTCGCATTCGTGTGTCACGAGGCACGTGATTTCATCATTCCTCTTGCAGGAAAATCCAAAAACTACACGCAAAAATTCAGTCACTTTTGCATCAACTGTTGCAACGAAAAATGTTGGTGGCGCAAGGAGAAGCTTGTCGTTTGGAGTGACAAGTGATCACCGCTGCTTTTCCTTGTCAGAGTCAACAATACACTTTGTTCTGCAGCGTTGGGAGTGGTGTTGGAGTAGAAATTGCTGACTAGACGTGGCGGAGGGGCGAGCTTTCCAGCGCAGGTATGAGTTTGGACGTATTTCAGAATGGTCGAGTGGAAAAATTCAAAATTGTTTATTTCAAGAAAACCCCAAAAGGATGATGGGGGACATGTCCTCAGTGCTAGAAGAGGTGTTCTACTATCTGCCGGTGTATAGTGTTTGCTAATTGAGGACGTAGCTCGCTGTTTTATCAGCGCTTGTAATTTGGCTATTTTCAAGATGATCATTTGTGGCGTCAAGGGATGATTGCCCTCGTCTTCTGGGATGCTGGCGTGGCTAAGTGGTGCTGCCCCAAGAACTCTTCTAAGGTGAGGTAATGATGGCTTGATGGAGTTTTGTTCGTAGCTGGTTCTTGTACGCTGTGCCGTGGCTCGTTTGTAGACCCATAAATCGTGCCAATATTGGGCCAATATTGAGGGGTATGCCAATTTCATGGTTCCCTTCAAAAGATTTTGTGCGGGCTTTGGAATGTCGATCTACACCCCAAAGCAAACCTACCTGCAAAATTTGAGCGAAATCTGAGAGATCGACTTGCACATATGTTCTGGTTTTCTCAGACATGCTCTCTTAAAATATGTCTGTGGAAAAAACTGGCATGTTGAGTGTGCTCTGATCGAACTGAGCCACTCCTTTGTGTTGGCCCGTTCCCTCCAAGTTGCCCGATTATCCATTTCAAATGGTGTCGCAGAGGTGGCTCCAAACAGGAATAGTTTTGTAGTGCACGTAAACTGAACGTTCCCCTTGAGTTCTGAAATTAGGTTATTGCTAGTTTATTGCTCTAGCTCCATGACGCCCAGTACAGAGAAATAATAAGCTTTGTGTGTGCTTCCAGTAGTTTTGAATTGGTATACGTGCTTCATTGGCGAGAGGCGAGCAGCTTTTTAACTGCGAGAAGAAGTGGATTTTTGGAAAGACGTTCAACTCTAGTCACCGTGCGAAGCAACAGGTCAAAAACTCACCTGTTTGGTATGGCGCTTCCGGTCATCACAGAGCCATGAACTTCTGGCTCGGAATAAAACACATCGTAGCCTCACTGTGACATTTTATGTTTTCTAATCAAAATACCAAGATAGAAAGTGAATATTGAGCCCGGTCCTGTTTGCAACGTATAGCCTTTTGAAACCGTGTCCTCTACTGGGTTTGCCAATTTCCTGTTACAGAATCTCTCCGCCCCCCCCCCCCCATTTTCACAGCTCAGGAAAAGAAAAACAACCTACAAAAAAAATAATGATCCTGCCAAACTAAAACTTACCTGAACTTTCATTCTAGAACTAGTCGTAGACAGTAAGTCATCATAGGTGCGGATATTGACAGTAATATGCTCTCCTGGCGCTGGGTATAATGTAATACGTGAGAGGATCCGCCCAAATGAAGTTCCCGCTGAAGAGCTCCAGTGAATGCCGCTAAAATGCGACCATGGTGCTAAAATAGCTGACCCAGAAATCATAACGTTGCTGATGTCTGTAAGATTGTTGCCGCCCATTCGCCGGGCAAGGAGCTGCAGCGAGCTGTCGGATTGTCCTGCAGACAATCTAAAGAGCAAAGGGTGTATAGACGTGCATAAATTCTATGCGGTGTGAAAGGACTTTTGTAGTAAGCTGGACAGTCTTTGTCAGAAAGACTTCGATTTATTTTACGTACTGGATAAATTCCCATGCTTTGTACTATTGCGTGTTTGCTCTAAAGATCTTTGAAGGTGGGTTTAGTATGGATGAGAATGTTGAACCGGAACTGCACTTTGTTTAGATTCAATATTCGATTTCCATAAAACGTAATTACCTTTTCATTATGTACGTTTCCTGTAACATTTTCATACTACACTGATTTCTCTTGTATAGCCAGATGTTACCGAGATGCTTGTAGCACTCCGTACTTGATTGTCCCAGCAGAATCCAGGCGGTGCTGAGGTTTAACAGTTTGCCGAGCGCATTGTTCGGGTTAGTTACGGCAAAAATAGAGGAGTTACTAACAGCGCACTGGTGCCATTGGTCCATGCTTGTATCGTCATTGTTCAGTGGATTTGTATCAACCAAAGTGGCGCCGAATGCTGCACAAGACCCATAACTTCTTGAGCCCTTCTGGTAGCTCTTGGACGCGTGTGGCTTGTCGAGGAGAACAATCGGATCGGCTTGGATGTAGCATTTATCTCGGGAGTTCAGCTGGAGAGGCATAAGCAACACACTGACATAAGTAGTCGCAACAGTTCTTGATGGTTTAAACAGATATATATATATATACCGAAGCTATTGCCTTCAAGTTGAGATTCTGCTTATTGCCTCTTCACAGACATTGAACCAGACTGCAAGCATCAAGACGTACGAGTCAGAGAATATCGTCATTTTGTGAAGAATAACCACTTGTTGTAGGTTTAAGGTGTATGTAATTAATCGTCTTCTTCCGTTCTCTTTTCTCTCTCATTCGTAAATGTAGTTTTTAGTTAGCCGTGGTTATTTTCCACCCTTCATCTCATTCTCACTTTTGGCAACACTTTGAAGTAGCAGATGTTGTATCAATAACAACACTAATGATAAGAATCATGCAGCTCATTTCATATCACAACCTGTCCAAGGCGTCTGTTGGTATTCTAGCCTTCGTCTTACCAAGGGGCTGTGAATCTTCGGATCCAGTGAGCATTGTCCGATATCCCTGTACTGCTTACGAATACTGACTCCGACAGTAGACCACCCATAAGACACATTTTGCTTCAGAAATTGCTGTAGATTCGCCTGTACACACACATTTGGGGAGGACACAGCAGAAGAAACGAACAGGCAATATACACCTTCTATTGGCGCTGACCTAGATATTCTGTTAAGAGTAAACTTGCGAGGACAATCTCTTCTCCAAACGTTTCCAGTTTAGGCGTAGATGTGCTCTTCGCATCCAATGCTCCATTCTTTCTCAGTTTCACGCGTTGCTCAATACATTGCGCACATATTTTTGGAGTAAAAGCAATTGTGATGCTATTCAGTATCGCCTTCTCTGTCGAGTTTTTTGTACATGTACGTAAAACAGCCCTCAGAGTAAAAGTCAGTATATGTACCTGTAACCTCTGGTTGTCGGAATTTCTGTTGGGTGTAATGGCGAATGAGGGTAGCAGCTAGTCGGCTGAAGAGCGCATGAAGAAGAGTAGAGGATAATTGTACATATACAAGTAAATGTAGTATGGAATCACCGAATGGTACCGCTCGCCACTGTATAGTTATCAATGTGCTTCTAAAGCGTCGTGAGTACTTAAGGTCCTGCGTTTTCAGCTCATACATGACCATAATACGTACCGGACTAAGCCATACAATGCTGAGGCCACTTTGTTGCACGAATGTGCCAATATCCATGACAGTTTCTAGAATGCCGTAGAGATTGAGCATGCCATTTTGAGAAACTACCGGAGCGATAATGAACGACTTGCCTCTGCATAAGAAATAGGAAAAAGGAGATGCAAATGCAATGGGCACCGTTTAGATATTTAGCGCGTATATTGTACCAAATTGAAGGATCATGTCATCAAAAAAATAATATGGATTTTCTCTCCATTAATTTAATTAAGGGCGAGGATTGGGGCAGGCAGTGTGTTCCAGCTCTCCAGGTCAAAGTATGGGAAGGAGCGGCGGATGAACTCTGGACTGGAGGCTTGTAGAGGAGTTGCGAGTTGGAAAGATTGGCCACGGAGTTACTGGCGTTAACTCTTGCTGGGGGAGGTACCATGTTGGTAAGCAGAGCTGGACCTGGTATGCACTTAGGCAAAAAAAGCATGAGGATGTTATAAATTTTTCAATTCTCCTATTTTTTTCAAAGCATACCCTGGGATTCGAACCCCGACTATCGCCCTTCATGCATTCCCCGATACACCTCGCATTCCTACTCATTCTTCCAAGTTGCTTCACGTTATGGTCTTGCGTTTGAAAGCCCTATTTGAATGTTGTGGCCCGCTGTTAGTGGCCAGCTGTCTTTGATGGTACGGTACGGAACGGGACAGATACGGGATAGCGCCAGGCGTGACACAAACAAATTAACACCAAATTAAAGCTGTGTGTACCCTGGCTAGCGCCAGTAATGTCTTCTGCATAGCTACGGGAATAAATAAAATACATATCTAGAAGGCATATGCCAGTACACAAACCCTTGTCCCGTGCAATAAAAATCCGCTTTAGCATAAGTACCAGGGCATCCTCCGTTGAGTGGCCTGCGCGGAAAGCAAACTGAGTCGTGGGGAGGGTACCAGATATGTTCAGAAACTCGACTAGCTTCTTCTGTACGACTTTCTCCAAGAGTTAAGGCATTATGGGAAGTAGGGACACTGGACGAAAGTTAGTGGGAATAGACGGGTCCCCAGCTTTGAACAGCGGGATAAAGTGTGCGTGGTTTAAGGCTGTGGGGACAGTGCCATTAACAAGCGAGGCCTTAAACAACGTGGCCATGGACACAGCTAGGATATCGACACACCACTTCAGAAGGTGGCCAGATATCCCGTCGCTTCCTGCAGCTTTGGCAGGATTGATTTGTCGGAGAAGCCGTTCTACCGGTACTTCGCCAAAAGACACTTGCGGCAATTCTGACATTGCACTCTGAGCCTGTGGAACTTGCGGTAGCGGGATGCTGTGAGGACGGGCCTTGTCTGTTACTACTGCCTGGAAGACGGACCAAACTTCTTCAATGGGACAAGTAGGCTCCACACGTACTCTATTCTTGTTCGATCCAGGACGATTCAATGTTAGCGTCGGAAAGCTCGGGGCTCGGTTTACCTGGAGTCCGGCACGGAAATAGTCTCTGTTTCATAGTCACATTTGCACGCACTTCTCTGACACCAAACACAATGCCACTCCTCGCTGACATGCCTCTGTCCTCCTTCTTTGACAGTTGCGCATATTCTTATTTTGTGTTTCTGTTTCGGTATATTTCGTGTTTCAATGCCTACCACGAGTTTATGGGTATTATTGAGTAAAGGACCATTCTGGAACATTCAGCATAATTGTATTTCTCTAGCTAGGCTTTTCATTACGAATCATTAGGCCTCCACTGTCTGCTAACTTAACCCTACAGCCTCCCATTATAATGGAACTCCCTTCAATTTAGACTACGTCTTTGAGAAATCGACGAGGAGACAATAGTCGTAAAATGGCAATAAATAAGATAAATTGTGCACTCATAACAACAGCAAAAATGAAGAAAGTCAAGTTCCATAACGTTTTCTTGTGACTGTCATCAGTGGAACGCCGTCACATAAAAATGTAATAACTAAAACACACACTTATATACATGTAGCTAATATGGTTTCAGGTAGAAATACAGCAGCTAACAAGTACAAAAAGCGAAGTTTGCACCTTTGCAATGTGTGAATATAGTGTATGTGAGAAAGGTAGTGGCAGATGAATGTGATACTGTGTGAATGAATGTAATGGTGCGTGTGTATTACTTGAAGAGTGTGAGTGATACAACGTTTTCTTTCTGTTTACATAGCACAGGGTCACGAGTACGAATATACACAGCTTCCAACACCTGCAATTGCTTGAAGAAACGTGCGCAACGGATAACACTAAACCAGGAATCGTCAAACACCTTACGACATTCTGGACTGGACACCAAATGCTTGTACACTGCAGACTTCCTCTTGTCAACATCAAACTCCTCCTCATCACTACTCTCATCCTCAACCTCCATTCCCATGCCGCCGTCCATCCCATCGCACTCGTATTCGTCGTCATTCACACATTGCAAAGGTGCAAACTTCGCTTTTTGTACTTGTTAGCTGCTGTATTTCTACCTGAAACCATATTAGCTACATGTATATAAGTGTGTGTTTTAGTTATTACATTTTTATGTGACGGCGTTCCACTGATGACAGTCACAAGAAAACGTTATGGAACTTGACTTTCTTCATTTTTGCTGTTGTTATGAGTGCACAATTTATCTTATTTATTGCCATCTTTGAGAAATCCTCAAATATATATTTATTTTATTATTTTTGGTTGATAAATATGGTGGTAAAGACACACCTGGCAATATGGCGGTAAACACACGCCTGCCCACACACGCTCTCTAGGCTGCAAAGTTCTGGCACAGAGCTCTCCTTCTCACCACCACCACCATCAGTTCGCGCCTGGCGCCTGGTCGATGCATGGCTGGCGGTATCCGGCATAGCAGGCTGGTACATCAAGTAGCGCATGGCACATAGATGATGACACAGCAACGACATACCTCGATTGCGACGTACGTTTCGTCCCCGCTGGACTCATCAGGCAATCTTCTTCTTGGATGTCTTCATACGGAGCTTGACTCGGGGTATTATTTTTTACTATAATAAAAAATAATAATAAAAGCATACACCGCCACCTCTGCGTACGGGACGATTGTGCCGTATCACACAGTCACCTGGTAAATCAATATCACTGTCTGATGTTGTGCTGTCAAGCCAGGTTTCTGCGACGCCAAATATGTCGAAGTTGTATTGCTGCAGGATATCAGCCATCTCTGCTACATTGTTTCGAAGCCTACAGACATTCAAAAAGCCAAATCTTATGAAGGACTGTGCCAGTGGGGTAATGCGGTGAGCGGGGGCAGCAGGGTTATCCTGGGTGCAAGAGCCATGAAAACTGGGACCTGGCATGTCAGCGCTATCCCCAGGGAAGAGATGTCGACCGTGTGCACCAGTAGTTACCTTGGAGGGGAAAAAGGTGGGTTCTAGGGGATTAAGAGACGCCATTTGCACATGTAGGAGTGTCGACATAATCAGCCAAAAAAATGTAAACCTACAGTCCATTCAGAAAAAAATGAACTTCTAGCTTTTGGCCATAAATGGGTCAAACGTTGAGTTTTTTTAGAATTTTTTTCTGCAATCCCATAATATGGAATCCTCTTCCAATTATGTTTCTGAAGTTTTTTTGTCCAAAAAGCAAGCCATAGCAAGAATAGGATTTCGGCCAGGTTTTGCCCCAAAAGCACTGAATTGGGAAAAACCATCAAAATCCAGGCCGTTTGACCCCGCCTGCAACAGTGCATTCTGCGGTTCGAACCCCAGTTCAGGCACCCTTTTTGGACCCTTTTTCAAATTTCAAAGTTCGCAGCACTGCACTGTGTACGATGAAATCACGAAAAATCGCCAAATACGGGAGCTCGCCAGAGCCAGGACCCATTTTTTATGAATGGACTGTAGAGCTAGAGTTTCCAAAACAAAATGTCCTAAACACATTTGTTGTTGCTGTTCATTTTGCTACTCTTTCTTTTCCCTCCCCTTATTTTTATTTATCGCCGTGGTTGGCAATCACCCACTCTCTTAACATTGGCTGGTGTTTCCATCGAGTCTTGAGATGTTGTAATAATAATAAATACGTGTTACTAATATTTTTAAACGCCAAGTTCGATTTCTGCTGATGGGGAGGTCGAACTTCGGTGCCGTTTTCTGTTATTGCCTGCGTTTCTGTTGCCTTTAGCGCAGTCAGCCAGTAAGGCCATCGCTCTGTCTTCGTCACTTTAAGGATCAGAGTGGGCCAGAGACGTGGTGGGGTTAGGCTGCTGTGCGGAGGGGGTGGTGGCTCCTCTCTCTGACTCATCAACCCAGCTGTTATTGGGGGACAGAGCTAGAGTGAAATCGGGCTCACCTTCAGTGCCTCCTGCTGAGACAGGTTCCAATTTCCCAGATGCATCCCTTTCCGCATCCGATCCTCCTACAGCAGATGAGTACGAGTACGGTTTTTCTGACCCCATGCCACTAGCACTGTCAACCTGGCGGCTGGCTGTCGTACCAGAGCTCATAAGTGCGTTTTCCCGGGAGTACTCATCCTGCTGCACATGCACTGATCCTGCAACTGCAACCTCTTGACTATGCGTACTTTGAGGGCCTGCTGCTGACCTGTTCGCTTCGGTGCATCCCGTACTTGTTGACTGACTTACTGGAGGTTTTCGGCGCGGGCATTCCCTGGTTTTATGACCTGGTGCGGCGAAACAGAAGCATGTCTGGGGTTTCCCTTTGTACCAGATGCGTAGGGGCGTCTGACCCACGCGAACAAGGGAGGGAACTGGCTTTCGCAATGTCACTTTCAAGAAGCGAGTTACGGTTTCAACTGAGAACCCTTCGTGCAGGATGTTTTCCTTGTAGGAGACCCGTGACTCTTTGCATACTGGCTTATGGCCGAAGACGATGCACCGTCATGCAGGTGATACGGACAGCGAAACACATGCAAGCTAATGAGCTCGGTGTCTCCAATGACAATACTAGTATCTTCTGCCTTACCAGCAATTTTGAAGGAAGTGGACACAAGGCGATCCCTGGCGGCGGCATGATTGAGGGTGACAGTGCACCAGCCTGGTCTGCCATGCAGGTTCACTTGCTGGAGTTCCTCGGGCTTGACTCCATTACTAGCTAGTTCCTTAATGACAAATACATGATGGATCTCCCAAAGAGGATCAAGTTGAAACGAAAAAGTGATGCGAGGCGGAGCTCCAAAAGTGCTCCCGCCCGCCATCGTACTAAACGTTTTTGCTAGGCCGTCGGTACTATTTGACCAGAGGTCTGACATTGATCACTCCGGAATTTTCTCAGCTGGTGGCATAAGCTGCATTGAGCCCAGGGCGTCTTTCAGTGCGATGACGCGATCAGGGTCCCAGTTCCAGCGCCAAGTTTCGAAGTTTTGCTGGTGTCTTGGTGTTTGAGGCCGGCACGCAGGGAACACATGTCCTCCGACGAGTACATGATCTGACACTCCGACAGGGGGGGGGTGTACGATGTGAACGGTAGGTCTTCTTCTGGTGCGTTGGAGATGACCACGTCGAGACAGGACTTCAAATTGCCTTTTTTTTTTTTTTTTTTTTTTTTTTTTTTTTTTTTTACTATGTTCACACTCCCAGCTCGAAAATAATAAAGAAAGACAATGATACTGAGACTAGGACGAACGTGACAACTATTGAGCAGGGGCTGCACCGAGACGCAGCAGTGATGGTGGGGCATTGATGGCTCTGCCGACCTGAGGTCTCGGCATCACGGCCAAAAACACGCACCAAAAACAAAAGATAGAGCTGTACGAGTCAGCAAAATGAAAAGAAAGGAAGGGTTAACATCAGCGAGTGTGCGGGAGAAACTGTGAGACTATTAACAAATACAAGGGCTGTTACTGAGAGGAGCATCATCATGGCTGATCATGGCGAGTCGGTTGTCTGAGCCAGTTGTGGTGCATAGATAGGGATAGAGGAGAACGACGAGAGCATCATCATAGCGAGTCGACTGCCCAGAGCCAGTTTGTGCTTCGCAGATGGCGATAAACATTAGTTTTGAATGCTTGCATTCCCTTGCTGTGGGGAGGCTGGGACAGAAGAGCGGCGGGGAGGGAGTTCCAGTCACTAATACTGCAGTGCGGGAACGAGCGCTTTAATGCCAGCGGGACAGATGCAAGCAGCTGGTGTTGGAGCTGGTGGTCATGGCCAATGACGCTACCATGCTCGCTGCGAGTTCTGGGGCTGGATGAGGGGAAATGGCGCGGTGGCAAAACAGAGAGCAGCTGCGGAGGGCCAGGCAGGTAATGCAGCTTGTATAGGCAGGCAATCGAGGCAACAGTACGACGGATGGCCAGGCTAGGTAATAGTGCACCTGGACCGATGATTCGCAGAGCACAGCGTTGGATATGATCCAGGCGTTGCAGGTAGCTGGGCGGAGCACCTATCCAGATGAGGGGGGCATACTCCATAACTGGTCGAACAAATGCCTTGTATACTGTGGTGCGGCCGGCTGGAGAGAGAATGTGCGCTGCACGGCGCAGGAAGCCCAGGCGTTGTTTGGCTCGAGTGGCAACCTTCCGGAGATGAGTGCTGAATGACAGCTTCGAGTCAAAGGTCACTCCAAGTAAAGAGAGCGCCTTCTCCTCAAGGACAGGAGTGCCGCCGAAGACAATACGAGGCAAATTGATGGGGGTTCTGCGGAGAGTGGCGGTCATGGCTTGGGACTTCGACGGTTCGAAGGAGATGCGCCATCTGCGGCCCCACTGATGCAAGCGATCAACAGAAGTCTGGAGGCTCAATGCTGCGTCGGCTGGGGATGTGTCGAGGGATATCAGGCTGTACAAGGTAGTATCGTCGGCGTACGCCTCCAGGTGGGCTCCGGGTGACAGGGTCTCTGAGGCGTCGTTCACGTAAATCAGGAAGAGTGTAGGGCCGAGTATGCTCCCTTGGGGAACTCCTGCTGATATGGTATACAGCGATGAGGTTTGGCCGCCCACCAAGCATTGAATGGACCGTCCACCTAGGTAGGAAGAGAGCCAGGTATGCAGGGGACCGCCAATGCCAAGATGGCGGACTTTGTGGAGGAGGCCAGCATGGGACACACGGTCGAATGCTCCGGCAATATCCACGGCTAGAATACGTGCTGCACCGCCTCGGCCGACGGCTGTGATCCAGGCGTGGTGTAGAGCCTGTAGCGCATCTGAGGTCCCGAGGCGGCGACGAAACCCGAACTGGTGGGGTGTCAGGAGTTTGTAACGCTCAAGGTGATTCATGAGCTGACGATTGATAACGCTCTCCATGATCTTAGAGATTATGCTCAGCAGTGAAACTGGACGATAATTCCTTAGGGCGGATCGTGAAGATCGCTTGTGGATTGGAACCACGCTGGCAGTCTTCCACATTTGTGGCTGGACTCCGTGCTGGAAGCAAAGAGCAAAGAGCTGACACAGTGGCTTGGCAAGTTCTCTGGC